GACCCCATTGTGGGTTTTCTTGGCAAAGATACTGAAGTGGTTTGCCATTTCCTTCTTCAGCTCATTTTATAGATGAGGAAACTGAGGCAAACAGGGTGAAGTGACTTGCCCAGGTATCACAGCTAGTAAGTGTCTAAAGCCAGATTTGAATTCAGGTCTTCCTGATTCTGAGCCAGCTGCTTCTAACCACTGAACTGCCTAGCTGCAGTCATTAGTTTATTATAAACTTAAAATAGAATTAGTGATATAATGTAAGGGAGTCAAAATTGTTTCAATCTTTTATTATATTAATAAATATTTAAAATATATATATAGAAAGATCAACCACAAGGACCAAAGTATAAGCCTGCCAATCTTTTCATCTCTCTACCTGAACCAAATACATATTCCAGCCCTTGGTGCATTAGGTGTCACTGTTTAAGTTGTTTTGTTTCTTTCAGAGTGTTCTGAGAGGCACATGAAGCAACTAAGAACTAAACAGGTAGGAGTCACATTGATAGCAATTGGCAAGGTCATTAAACCCAGGTCTTCCATTCCCCAAACCTTTCCACTATATCGTGCTGCCTGCCTTCCTCCATACATAAGTAGAGATTTAAGAAATGTTTGTTAAATTGAATTGTGAAAGATATACAAAGATATAAATACATACATCTGAACATGTGGCAAACCCAGTGGATGATACAGGAGAGTCTTGTCCCTAAAAATACAACATGCCCATAGTCATTACAGTATAACTTCCCAGGCACAAATGACATCAAGCAGTACTGACAAATTGCGTTAAAAATGTATAATCCTCAAGTCTACACTTGCAGCTCATTAAATTAAAGCTTTTTTCCACAGTCAAACACACACAATTTAGTATGTCTCAGAGTGATCAGCTCTAATACAAATAGCACACCACTCTCAAGGTAACCTGAGTGGCTTCAAGTGTATCTTACCTGCTGGAGCTTGGATCTTTCTACAAGGATTCTTCATCGTCATTGGTTCATACCTAAGCTCAGTATCTCACCACAATGATGTCTCCCCAACTTCTTAAATCATTCATAAGCTGGCTTGCTGAAAGACATACTGTGAGGAAACAGAACTGCCTCTTCTAGGAAAGGCAATAAGAGGAAGAAAGAAAAGTTGATCTTGGTCCTAGAATCACAGGCATCATCTAGTCTAGACCAGTCATTTTATATATGAGGAAACAGAGGTCTAGTGAAAGGAAATGACTTATTCAAGGTCACAAGAGCTTGTTCACAAGTAATACATTCAATGTTACAAAGACCAGCGACAAAGTCACTAAAACCCAGGCTGACTAATTGCCAATCCAGTGTTCTTCCTACCGTATTACAAGTAGGCTCCTTAGTTAGGTTTCAAGGTCATTTCTTGCCCACAGATGTGAAGCTCTAACCCCACCCTCCCCACACACACATCCCTTCACCAAGTCGTCTACAAAGACTCTGATTAAATGTCTCCAGTGACAAGGAAATTCATCTCATGATGCAGTTTGCATAAATGAAGAAAAATCTGGATCAACAAGTACATTCAATTCACTCCCAGGCTGATATATACAACCATATCAGACAGCACAAACAGAAACCCTAAGCCTTTATATTCCAGATTCTTCTATTTCTACTTGAGCATTGAACTCTTATGAAAGCAACAGTATATCCAGAGGACTGTCCATATAGTATCATGGTACTAAAATCATACCAGTGAAGATTTTGCTGGAAATGAGTAGGGTCCTGGCTAACCTTATTATAGAGAGGTTTGAGCAATGTTTTACAGAGATTTATCTTATTCTTTTTCCTACATAGAGCAGACCAACTCTCAGTATATTCTCAAAATGTTCTCACAACAAAGTTGATTTCCTGTCTCATAAAGAGGAAAAAAATTGATTCAGACAGAGGACAGTGATGGAAAGGGGCATAAAGTCACACCACAAGTCAGTGGCAAAGCCAAGAATAGAATACAGCTCCCTGGATTTTCAATCTGGTACATTATCTACTGAAACCACCAAGCCTCTCTATAATTACGTGTTCTTTTCCAAGAGAGCCTGCAGTTGAATAGAAATGGATCTGGGATCAAAATACTGATTTGCTCGAAACAAAAGCCTAGTTTCAACAAGAAAAAAAACTCTGGGTCTGTCTTCAGTGCTGTGAAAGACAAGCTAATTTTAAAAATTTATTATTATTGAATCTGATTATCTGATTATGGGTTTGAAGAGGACAACTCACAGATGCAAGACCAATTTTCTCCAGAAGGATACAAAATCATTTTAGGAATCAGAAATAGGTTGCATTCTAGATGTGTCCCTGCCATCAAGTTCAGAAGAAAAATCAGGGATTGGGTTCACATATCACCTACAGTCTAAGCTTTTCAGTCCACTCCAAAGTTGAACTATACAAAGCTAACAGAAGAGATTTTTGTTTTCAGTCTCAAAAGCCACAAAGCATTCCAACTTCCCCAAAACCATTTACTACGGGGATACTTACGACTCGGGAATTAAATCTGATACTCCAGCAAAACCAAGCTGTTAACTTGTAGTAATGACATGGATGACAAGCAGATCATTTTGAAACTGTCTCAGATATAGATGGGGGTCTGCCATTCCCTGGATCCAATATGACTTATTTGGGTGTCTTTCAATGTTTTGCTATTTGACTTGAAATTGCTGGGATGAAGGGAAGAGGCCAGTGGAAATGGGGTTAACAGCTCATCCCTGAAAGCCACTGAAGGTCCCCTGGTAGCATCAGGTGTTAGGAGCAGTTCCCAAGGGAGAGGCACACCTCAAAGCTGAGGCAGATCGTTACCATAGCTTTACTTTCCAATGACAGTAGGAAACAGTGAAGCAGAGTTGGCAAGAGCCTCTGTGTGTGAGGGAGAGCTAATCTTGGTAATGGTTTGAGGCACACACACTCAGCAGAGTGTAATTTTGTGAGTGGGAGGTTTCAAAACTGAAGACTTAAAACAAATACATAAAAGAAATATGAAGATATGGGTGGTGAGGGGGGTCCCATAACCATCACCCCCTCCCTTTCCTGATCAGTTGAGAGGCTGACCTATTTCAGGGATGGAGAGTGAACTAGAAGAGGACAATTCCTAACCAGGGACATTTTGGTGATGAAAAGTCACTAAGCACAGAAAAAAGGATGAAATTTTCTGCTCAACAGTCTTGTGCAGGGCAAGGATTCTGATACTGGATGGGAGGAAATGGGAAGGGCATTCAACTGTGACTAAGAACTGAGGCCAAACTGAATTGAGAGGGGCTCAGACAGGGCTGACTGAGTCCAGCAACCAAGGTTGCGCAATAGCAGTCCCACTTGCAGTCATTCACTGCTAGTCTCAAACATTTCACAAGCCTGAGCATTCGCATTTGTTGAGCTAGAAAGCTTTTTGAATTACTGCAGTTTGTCCTGGAGACAGGAGAGGAGCCTCTTCCCCGATTTGCCTCCAAGAAAAAACGCATTAGACCCTCGGTAGCGGTAGCGTGAGTTACCTGCCACGACAATGTATATCTCCGGGAAGAGTCAATCCTGTGACTTCACTGGTAAGATTTGGGGATTCGAGAGGACAGTTTCTCAGTTTTAAGCTCAAGCTGAAAGTATACCAGCAGGTAAAAGATTAACCAGGGCTTAAAGTTTCCCCGATTCTGGGCCCTCCCATTAAATTAAAGAGGCTGAAGCTACCAATAAACATAAAACAAAATGAAAATCCCAGAACCAACCAGTTACCATAAAGCAAAATAAATAGGCTTTAGAAAAATGAAAATAATGAACAAATATCAGTGAAGTTTAGCTTTGAGATCTATCCAACACCACCGAAATGGGAGCATGAGGGGTGTGGGAGACCAGGGAAGGAGAAAGAGCTGGGATGCACACACCACCACCACCCGAACCCCAGCTACAGAGAGAGATCAAGGGATCGAGGCTGGTCTCCAGCAGGCAAGGATAAGAATGCAAGGTGGCAGTACTAGCTCCCGACCCCATAAACTGCAGTCAAGCGCCCCCTCCCCTTTGACTAAGAATTCAAAATCGTTAATGGTTCTCCACCTGCCACGTTCAAATCTCAAGGAAACCATGGGGCAAGACCTCCGAGAACCGCCTCCCCATCAAGGAATCGGGAGGAACAGCCGAGGATCAGCATCCTTTCACCACCACTATCAAGGAAATTCCCAAAAGGCTGGGAGGTTAAGGGAGGGGACCTGCACGCAGGAATTCAGCAACCAAACTGCGCTGCAACCTCAGATTCCCTGGTCTCATCGTTCAGGCAGACGGTGAGACGATCCAGCCCGGCAAATTCATTCTCGGGGGACAGGGGTCTCAAGTCCCTGCACTGTGGACAAGACTGTAGGATGAGGCCAGGCAAGAGGAGTCATCGAGAGAGGAGCGTTCAAAAAATTTATTCGACTAGCATCTATCTAATGCCTGTTGGGCGCAGAGCCCGGTACTGGGCAGAGAAAGATACCCAATTTAAATCATATGGTATTAGTGTTTGTAAGGGACCTTAAAGATGGTCCGGTCACAGATCCTCACTTTCCAGATGGGGAAATCGAGGCCCAGAGAGGAGGAACGACTAGCCCAAGGTCACGTGGCTAGTTAGTGACAGAGACGGGATTCAAACCCAGGACCTCTTGCTTCAAATCCAGGTCTCTACAGATAAAATACTCTCCCTGCCCTCAGGAAGCTCACAGCCTAGTACTGGGATGAGGCACAGACGCAGATAATAACTCTAATCCATAATATTTCATGCTAAGTGAATTAGCGAGGTTCCCCGGCAGGGAAATGCGCGCTGTGAGGTGACGGATCCTTTGACTTAAGCTGATTTTGGTATTGGTCTCCCTAGCCTCGAAGACGCCCTTTGGTCAGTGAAACCTTAGCGAGGGACAGAGAGAGGGGTGGCCAACATTCAGAAACAGCGTAGGCTAACCCAGTACACAGACAGACACACAGACAGACACACGCACACACACACGCACGCACACACACACACCTCTTTTGCTTCCAGCTTCTTACCGGGTCCTTACCAAGAGTCAGCAGGTCCCCCAAGTTGTGGTTCCCGATTACTGACCGCGGCACCGGGACTCTCCTTCTGGGGCTGCGAGGGGAGACGTGGAGGTGGCGTCCGCTTAGCGCCCAGCTAGCACGCTAGCAGCGCTGGCCCCACTCCCGCTCAAGCCACCGCTCCAACTCTACGCTCATCGCCACCGAGGAAAACAAAAGGAAACCGGCGGAGAGAAAAGAGGAAACGAGGTGGAGGCGCATGGGGAAGGGGGAGGGAGGGAGGGAGGGAGGGAAGGAGGAGGAGGTGGCTGAGGGGCGGAGAGGGCGGGCTGGAGGGATGGCCGAGGGGGCGGGGACAGGGGAGAGGAGCAGCCCCCAAAAGCGACGGGAGAAGGCTGGAGATGGAACGCGTTGCGCTGAAGTTTGGTGCTGACTCGGTTGGGAGGCGAGACAGAGCACTAGGAGAGAGGAAGGGACAGGCAGCGATCACTCCTCAATGACCCGCCCCTCCAGCCAAGGGCCCTGGGACTGGCCCGCCATTCGTGCCCCCACCCTTCCCAGACCAGATTCTATTACGAGGGCGGGGCCGGGATGTAGGCGGCACCACGGCTGGACACCTCCCTCCGGCGCGCGCCTTATGGTCCTTCCCCTGCTCTAGCCTCCTTACCTCCTACGCCTCACCTGACGCGTGCGGAGGAGGGAGAAGGGAGGAAGACGGAGGCAAGGGAGAGGGTTAGGGGCGACTGGGGAGGTGGTTCCTGTAGCGCCGGCTCACTTGGTACGCGCCTGCCCCGCGCCTGCCCCGCCCCTGCCCCGCCCCCGTCCCTTGCCTCTGCACTGAGCCTCTGCAGCAGGCAGGAAGTCCTGAGCAGCCTGGCCTCGGGAACTGGGCGAGGGGTGGGTTCCTTGAGTCTAGAAAGCCAGTAACACCCAGCTGGAGCCCTCCGGAGCGTAGACCATCCTCCTCAGGCTCAAGGTGTGTCTCCCCAGCCCAGCACGGACCCTAGCCCAAGACGCTAGCTGCGTGACCTTTGGACAAGTCAATCTGCCTGTGCCTAATTTCTTCATTTGTAAAACGGAGATCGTTCTACTTATTTCCTACTTCACAGGGTTGTTGTAAGGATCAAATAAGATAAGCTATTTAAAGCAGTTCTCAAAACTTAAAGCAATATATGTTAGCTATTATTATTAGATTCCGGGGGTGGAATGGTGGTAGATCGTTGTGTACCAGAAGTCAGGAGATTTTCATTTTTCACTCTATCCCCAAGGGCCTAGAACATAGTAGGTACTTGATAAATGACTTTCTTGCCTGCATGCTTTACTGTGTACTTGAAGGAATGAATTGAGTGAATGAATGAATTCTAATCCTGACTCAGACATTTACATATGTCACCACAGATTAATTGGTTCATTTTTGTGAACCTTCCTTTACTCACCTGTAAATTGGATCTAATAATACTTTCATGACCTAGTTCACAGGCCTGTTGTGAATATTAAGGTATTATATACTATCATGAGTAACTAACTGATGACTTGAAGGCAGTTGGAAGATGCCCTCTATTCACTATGCCACCTAGCTCCATGGGCCCTTTTCTCAACCCCATTCTCCCCTTCCTTAAGAGATGCAAAGTATCTTCAGAAAATGGCTTTTCCTTTTCTCCCCACTTTCCAAAGAAGGGAATGAGTGAGTCATTTGTGGGAATAAATGGGCAAGACAGATTTAAAACCCATCCTTTCCAGATTCTTTGTGTCACTCTAAAAAAATAGGTTTATCTTCTTAGGAAAGTACAAATACATACACTACCCTTTCCCCACCTCCACCAAAAAAGAAAAAAAGCCTTAATTTTTGAATAAAGTTTCGAATCCAGAGTTATATGGCAAAAAAAAATCTTAAATTTTTAAGATGTGGAACTACAAGGAAAATTAGAGATCACCTCAAGATTTCTTAACCTAAGGTCCATGAACATATATATGTATATATTTATATGTATCTATGTGTGTATGTATGTATATAAATACATACACATTTATAGACACACACATGTATATAATTGGTTTCTATTGTAATCCTATGTATTGTATTTTATAGATTTTAAAATGTTATTCTGAGAAGGGGTCCATTGGCTTCACCAACCTGTTGAAACGCTCCATGACATACACACACAAACACACACACACACACACACACACACACACACACACAAACAAAGTTGAAGAACTTCTGCTCTGGTCCAAGTCCCTCATTTTACAGATGAGAAGAAACTGAAGCCCAGAGAGGTGAGGTGTTACCCAGGGTTACACTGTAAGGGACAGAGTTAGGATTCTAATCCAGATCTTTTTTTTTTTTTTTTTTTGGCTAGGCAATGGAGCTAAGTGACTTGCCAAGGGTCATGCAGCTATTAAGTGTTATGTGTCTGAGGCTGGATTTGAACTCAGGTCCTCCTGACACTAAGGCAGAGTTCTGTCCACTGTGCCACCTAGCTGCCCCTAATCCAGATCTTCTGACTGCCAATCTAGTACTATTTTCACCCCACACGATGCCTCTTCAGAGCTATCATTCTAATGTCTCTAAGGAGAAACTCATAATCCAGTTCCTGTCCTTCTGCAAAGCCTCTGGTGGATACACTCAGGTTTTTTTCATTTTTAAATCATTAAAAGACCTATTACGTTCAAGGCCCAGTGTCACCTTCATATCCACTCTGGTGGATACAAAGATGAATTAGTAGCGGCTGCTGCCCTTGAGGTTACCAAAAATCCAGTAGAGGAGAAAAGTGATATACTGAACTGAAATACGAAGAAGAATGTGACTAAGTGCATCCTTCGGGGTGCTGCTCAAATGCTACTACTTCTGTGAAGCCTTCCTTAATCCTTCTGGCTTCCATCCCTCCTCTAAACTCTCACAGGACTTTGTAGCTCTTACCCATTCTCCTATAACGTGCCAATATATTCCAATCATCTTGTACATGTCGTCTCTCCTGCCTCAGCAGGGGAGCTCCTGGAGAACTGAGATTGTGGCTTATTTTTATATCCTTAATGGCAGAGAACTTTGACAGAGTAGATATTCAATGAATATTTGTTGATTTGCTGAATTAAGTGATTTGCCCAGGGTCACACCACAGCAGACCCGGAACTAGAATCCATGCTCCTGGCACTTTACAGTTTAATCTAGTACCTAAATAAGTACTATATGACAAATAATTATAACAATATGATTAAATTCAATAAATTCACTCAGTCCAAAATCAGTGTGGTATAATAGAAAAATCACTGAATCTGGATACAAGACTGATATATAATAGCTCTGTGGCCTTGAGCAAGTCCCCTGTCCTCTCTGAGCCATTGGGTTCCTCATCTGGAAATGAGCAAATTGGCCTAAATGATTTCTAAGGGGTCCCTTCCAGCACGAAATCATATGAGGCTATAAAGCTCTTAGAAATAGAAAAAAACTACAAACCAAGCATTTGGGAAAATCTGTGATCAGTTTGTTTACGTGGTATACTTTTATTTCCAAATATTATTTCCCTTGTAATTACAGAACAAAGGAATGTAGCTGTAAATTAAAAAAAAAAAAAAAAAAGGATTGATATTTGTCCCTAGCAGATGTGGCTGTGGTTGTGGCTGCTTCAGTCTTGGCCCATGGCATCTCTGCTCAGCATATTTTCAGAATCACAGAATCTTAAAAGCTAGGAGGGATTTAGTGTGAACTTAGCCCAACCCTTTCCTGAGTAAGAATTCATTCTACAACATACCTAACAAGTGATCAACCACCTTTTGTTGGAAGACCCTCAATGAGAGAGAACCCACTCTTTCCTGAAACATTCCATTCTACTTTTAGATAGCTTTAATCACTAGGAAGTTTTCTTTATATGAAACCAAGGTCTGCCTTTGTAACCTCCACCCTTGCTCCTCATTCTTTCCTTTGGGGCCAAGAAAAATAAGTCCATTCTTCTTCCATTTGATAGTCATTAAAATACTTGAAGTTAGCTGTTATATCCTCTAACTCTTCTTCAGCCAGTTTTCATATGGCATAATATTAAAGTCCTTCACCATATTGGACAGCCTCTTTTGGAAACTCTGGCTTAGCAACATACATCCAAAAACATGGTGCCAGAAATCAACACAACACTCCAGATATGGTCTGACGAGGGCAGAGCATAATTATCCTACCACCTCAATAGTCTGTCTTAATGTAATCTAAGATTGCATAGGCTTTTGCAGCCATATCACACTGTTGAATAATATTAAACTTTCAGTCCCCTAAAACCTCTGGTTATATACATATATATGTATACACACACACACACACACACATATACACATACACACACATATATATACACACACACATATATACACACACATATATATACACACACATATACACACACACATATGTATGTATATATGTATACATATGAATTGCTAACTAAATAAATATATCATCTTACTTTTGTAAAGTTAATTTTTCTGACTCAAGTGTAAAACATTTATCATAATTACATTTCATCTTATTAGATTCCTGTAAATATCACAGCCTGATTCTCTCAGGAACCATATTGGTTAAACCTCTCATTTTAAGTCATCTGAAAATTTGAGAAGCATGTCATTGATGCCTATGTCATCTCTGTCACTGACAAAAATGTTAATCAGCACATGAATCTTACTAGAGATCTACTTACAGGTTGGTATCAAGCCATGAATGACAATTCATTAAATCCATTCAGCCAACCCACTAGAGTGACTTTTCTTCATTACCCAGTGTCTTATTTTGGGTGCTATGATCTACCTCATGGTATGAGGGGCTTCTAATATATGAAGATCTTCCTGTTAAAGGTCAGCTAAGTGATAGATAATGCCAGTATTTTTATTTTTTATTATTTTTATTATTACAATTTACTGTGTGTTGAAAGTGCAAGTATGGGAGAGTCCCAATTTGAAGAAACTTTGGTATTAAGTTTGTTTTATTGTAATCCTTTTATGATTGCTTGTTAAAAGTAGTGGATAGACAGCTGGACCTGGAGTCAGGAAGTTCTGAGTTCAGATCCAGCCTCAGATACTTACTGGCTAGGTGACCTTATGTAAAATGAAGATAGTAGTACCTATCTCCCAGGGTTGTAGTGAAGATAAAATGAGGTAATATTTGTAAAGCACTTAAAATTCTATACAAATGGGGAAGGAAATAAGCATTCATATAGCACCTACGATGTGCCAAGCACTGTGCCAAGAGTTGTTTTTTCTTTTACAAATA